CCACTGACTTGAGAATAAATAAATAGGCATTTTTCTTTTTTCCCCCTCTTAGTAAAGGGGAAGTAAATAGAAAGGCATGCTATAAAAAAAAAAAAAAAAAAACAGTATGACACTCCTAACTGCATGAAAGTTATATGTAGTGTTATTTATAATTACAGTAAATAGGAAATACTGCAGGGAGCAGCATACAGAAGTGGCTCTACACTATGAAGCCTTATAGACTAAGGGACCATCAGATGCGTAATTTCCAGGCACTCTATCCCTTAGGCTGACAGGCAGTAAATTCTGCCTCACTTACTGGAAAGTAGATGTACTGTGCCCTAAATCCCACACAGAAAATTGAAAGGATAAAAAAAAAAAATCAATTTTGCTTCACTAAAATAAGATGCGGGCTACTTTATTTTGCCACGGTAAGTGATGTTTATGGAGCTGTTTTTAGTTTCCCAATAGAATAGTTATGAAATTTTGTCTAATCTTGATAGAAAAGAGCATTCTATGGAGAGAAAAGGTGGGGTTAGGCTTATAAAGATGACAAACCTTGGAATATCTCAAAATCAGCACATAGTCTTAGTTTTTAACTTCCTCATTGTAAAAATTGTCACTGATAACAGAGCAATCTTTCAAAACATCTCTACATTTACAACTTCGACTGTTGAAAAGTTTCGTTCGTGGACTTCAGCCAGTTTCTCCTTTGCAAACAGAAGGCCAAGTAGACAGTTTGTCTTAAGGGCACTCATTACACTTTATTGTATAATTATACTAACCCCCTGCTGGCTTCTTTGTCAATATTTAATGACAAAGCTTCACGTCTAATTGACTTTTTTGAGTAGTCGCCCGGTAATGTTTTAGATAGACAAAAAGAAAGAAAGGAGCCAGATCAACTTCTGCGAATGGTTTACTTATTTTCAAAATAAGTCACGTGAATAAAACCGGCATCTTCCCAGATGGCTGTCACTTTGCATTTGAGTGAAGACGCCAGTGACAGGGGCCCTGAGAGCAGTCAGCAGTCCACCCACCAGCTGCACCTTCTCTTGCCTGTCTTTTCCTTTTCTCTTGTTTTGTTTCACAAGATGGAAATAAGGGTGAAGGTGAGAAAGTGCATAAAACAGAGAGAGGTGCCGAAATACCATTGATAAAAAAAAAAGCAGAATGTTTTTGCAAAGCTGCTGATGAAGGACCTGAGTTGCCATGACTGCAAAGTGCACGCTCCCGAGAAAGAAACCTTCTGGATGATGAGGACTCGGAATTCCATCTGGTCCTCAGCAAAGCCCATCTCTGGGGCTCTTTGCTAGGCAACAACTACTGCAGGTGCCTTCATCCTCGCCTGGACCTACCAAGTGGAAGCAGTCAAGAGTCTAACCGTAATGAACTTGGAAGGCCTGTTCATTAAGGCTTTTTTTTTTTTTAATTATAGCATGCCTTTCTATTTACTTCCCCTTTACTAAGAGGAGAAAAAAAGAAAAATGCCTATTTATTTATTCTCAAGTCAGTGGTGCTTTTTCTGTCCTAACTCAAGAGTAAGCTTCCTTCTTTATCATATTTCCTTTTGATTTTAGAGCTATATTCCATTTGATATATGTAAGTGAAATAAGCTGGCCAGAGGCAGACGAATACTGCATGGTTTCACTTATATGTGGAATAAAAAATTTAAAAAAATTTTTAAAAGGTCAAATTCTTAGAAACAGAGAGTGGAATAGTGGCTGCTAGGGGGTAGCGGGTAGGGGAAATACGGAGACGTTGGTAAGAAGGTACAAACTTTCACTCATAAGACGAGTGAGGTCTGGGGATTCAACGTGTAACATGGTGACCATAGTTGGCAACACTGTGTGGCATAACTGAAATTTAAATCTGCTCTCCAAAAACGAACAAACAAAAAAAGGTAAATATATGACATAAGAGATGTGTTAATTAACCAGATGAGAAGAATCCTGTCACGATGCATAATAATGTCAAATTATTAATGTACACATATATCAAATTTCACACTGTACACTTTAAATATATTATAATTTTGTCAACAAAGCTGGGAAAAAAAGAGTCTAGAATCTAGCCCAGATTTTAACATCAATGTTAGCTTCTGAAAAAAAACTTTGAAAGGAACTAAAATTGGCTAAAGTACTCGAGAAGCTCTATTTAGGTTTTAAGCAGCCACTTTGGTCCCACTTCCACTGCCTGACCTGGTAAATGGAAGCCACTGCAAAGTCAGACCTCATTTAGCTAAACGCTCATTAGCACTTAATTATTACTGGAAATGGAATCAGCACTTCGTTGTTCTGTCCTAATGCCGTGAGGTCCGGATCCTATCAGTATATAACCACTTCCGGTTGAATGGGCCACTTACCTATTTACTGTTTTAAGTGGGTACTCTCTAGATTCTGATTTACTTGTTTCCTCCTTCACCAAACTGCTACAAATTTACGAAATAAGAAATTCAGTCAATTTGTCTCGGAATCTCTTGAAAATAATCCAACTAAGCCGAAATTTTAAATTCATATTGCTTCTAAAACCATTCGGGGTCCTCATTAGAAATTTATTCTAAGTAGTCCTCTAAAATCCAGGAATTCTTTCAGCAATCGTTTGTTGAATGTCTACTATATACAAGGCATCGAGAAGGATGGAAAAATAATGACCTTCTCAAAGGGCTCTCCTTCTTCAGTAGACAGATGGCAGGTAGCCACAAAAATCTAACAGAAGTCAAAAGAGATCTATAACAGCAGTAACAGTTCAGAGAATGGGGAAGATTTTACTAAAGAGGCACGTTACATGTAGACTATCACAGCCAGAGGGACCGTAGAAAATACCCATTCCAATCATTTTATAGATAACAAGAACAACAAAACGAAACAGAAAAGATAAGAAAAAACACTCTTTTAAGGGGGAATAGCAGTTTACCCGATATCACACAGAGAACTGAAAAGATCTAGACAAGGTCGGCTCCGAGGCCCAGCTTTCTGCTTCTCCGCGAGGCCACACTGCCACTCTGGGGGTGAAAGGGTTTCAAGAGGCAAAGATGGGGGAAAGAAGAAAGCGTGCTGGCAACGATCAGAGGCTGGAAGAAAACGCTCATAAGAAGGTCGTTTGGAAAACAGTGTTTGATTTACGTAAGGACAGGAGTTGGAGGGAGGAATGAGACACTGGGCTGCAGGTAGAGGGGGATTAGAAAACGGAGGACAACAGAGGCCAGCCTAAGAGAGCTGGACTTCTCCACTACATGACTTAATAGGTGCAGGTCGCAGAATGTACTTAGAAAATCTAAAAGTTCCTTCGACATTGGTTCCTTCGATTATTCTATGACACTGCGGTCTTAGAGTTTGTAAGAAAGAACAACCTTCTGACATGACAAAGACCAGCTAAACGTACCAAATTTATACTGAATACGATCTCCCTTTGCCAATGTGTCTGCTTCTCCAAAGCAGAGGGTAACAGAACAGGGGTGAGGGAAGGCGAGACACTGTGATCCGCTGTGATGGGTGGGGTTTGCGACAGCACTGCCTGCCTGACGTCTGTGATGTTCCGTCTCTTGCCTTGCCATTCCTGAGGCTCTTCAACTTGCAGGTTCCACCTATGGTTCCTGGCCAACCCTCAGCAAGCCCGAAAGCCAGCGTGGTCTCCCAGATGCTGGGGCCAGCCATGCTCCCGGGGGCACGAGCTGCTCCCCACCCCACCCACTGCCAAACTCTTTGCCTGAGCGCCCTGTTCTCTTCTTTGGGACTGGAGAAATGGAAAAAGACTAGAGGTAGCAAACCCGATTCCACACCGACACGTGCATAGCACTCTACGGCAATTTCAAAGCACTTTCACAGCCTTTTTGTCACTTGCTATCAAGCAGAAGCAAACCTGCAAGGCTCCCCTCGATCCCCCAGGATTAGAATATTCTCCCCGTCTCTCTGGTGACTGGCTAGGCTCTGACATTAGCCTCTCAACCCAGACAACTCCTGGAAACCCTGAGTCTATCATCTGCTCAATCGCAAACCCTGCGTTTACCAAGAAACCCCCACTGCCTCCCACCCCCTATCTTTAAGTCCAATTTGAAGAACCAAAGGGGCTGTTCACTGTGAGTCTGATGACTCAATTAAGGAAAACGATCAGAACCCTGGAAATACAAAATATTCACCCACTCCCTCTGTGAACACGTGGCGAATATCTACTGTGCAGCAGGCACCGTGCTAGGAACCTCGGGTGAGCTAGGAGCCGCGGCCCCTGCCCCTGAGCAGCATGCAGGCCTGTTGGGAAGACATCACACTACATGTAAAATCAGTAATGCGACCTGTGTGATGGCAGGGAGATGGAAGGGCGCAGAAGCAGGGGAATCCTAAGGCAGCTGGCACGTGGGCGGCTACTGGAGTTAGGGAAGCGGGTAAGGGAAGGGGACTGGGCGTGCTCCACGCGGAGACCAGCCAGCATTGGGACCGGGGCGGAGATGGAGGTGCAGCAAGCTCCGAATGGCTGGAACCGGCGGAGCGCCAGGACGGACGGAGGGAGCCCAGGCTCAGGGCTGAAAAGGCGGGCAGTGGCCAGACTGTGCAGAACACTGAACACCACACCGAAGACCATGCCTCAGGATGGTGGGGGCCCCATTTCAGCAAAAAGGAAAGACTTCCTGAGATTTTACTTTTACAGGTGTCAACCCGGCTGCGGAGCGGAGAGTGGATCGCAGTGGGAGTAAGGCTGGGGCAGAGCTACGTTAGCAAACCGCTGCCATCATGCAGGTGCCAGGCGATGGCGAGCTGGGCTCGGGTGATGAACTTGGGAAGGCAGAGTGGGCGGGACTTAATGGGTGGCTGAGTGGCGAGTGATTAAGTCTTGGAGAAATTCTAAAGTTTAGAAGGTAGAAGATCCTCGTTGTTTATTAATTAAACTAGTCATTTAGGTGTGTGTGTGGTGAGGGGGTGGGGAAGAATCATTTCTGAAACCTTATTCCAACAAACAGAAGAAACTTACTGCTTTTAAACCGTTACTATGGATCATTCGCCAGCACCCAAGTGGCGGCCATCACTCACCTGGTTGCCAACCAGTAGCAGATGCTCTCCCAGGAGGAAGTCTTTGAGCATGTCTTCCATCGTCACCATGTGCTGGAGGAAAAGAGCTACAGCTTAACCGCGTTCAGCTCAGTCAAGGTGAAATGGGACAGTAACTATGACGCTATTTTCGTGGAACGGAAAACACCGATTATAACAGACACTACTTAAACAATATGAATTTTTAGAAAAACAGAAATTGACGCTGTGGTTATAAGTAACATACCCAATGAGGTCACTGGCTGAAAACCTGAAATAGTACACCTGAGCAAAACTAAGCTACTGCCCCATATTTTAAGCATTTTTCAGCGACTGCATGATATTGAGTTGGCTTATAATTTAACATAATATTTAAATTAACACTTGCTAATGTAAACACACAAAGGCTTTTTAAAATAATCGGGGATTTCCATGAAACAGTTTACACTGACGTATTCTTAACCATTACCTTTGAAGAATGTATAGCTTTAGAATTAAAAATATATTATTTACTTTCCACATTTTTTTATTCGAATTATGACGCAGTATAATAAAAGAACTAGACTAAAGTTGTTCACAATAGCCACAAAGGAAATTACATTGCTCTTTTGTATCCTGAAAAATAGGACAACTCTAAGTAGGGCACAAAGGCTCAGTCGCGGGGGTGGGAGTTATGGCGAGAACTATATGCAGTATGATTAAAAGCCCTATGCCTTCCTCTTGGTTTTCTGTATCGAAACAATACTGGCCTCATAAACCACCAAAGTTGCTTAAGTTCCCCGTTTGTAGAAAAGGCAGCGTAAGCTTGGTCGTTGGGGCCGTGGAATGGATGAGAAGAATCTGATTGCTGCAGAGTCTTAAAGTCTGACCACGTCTCTCTTTTTTGCTTGAATTGGCTCCTCATTTTGTATCTAATACATACTGCAGATATTTTTATAGTTTGTCACTTGCTTTTTTTTACTCAATTTGGTTTATGGACTTTTTTGATATCTAGAATATTTTCCTTTTACTTGTCAAATTAAGCAATATTTTCTTTCAGAGTTTCTTCCTTAGAGAGAAAAACTGAGAAACTTTTTTGCCTCCTCTTCAAGAACAGATGAGTATTCTGTAATGTTTATCTTGGAGGTTTTTATTTTTAAAAATACTTTTACATACACCATGGAGCTGGGATTTTAACAAGGCGTCGAGTAGGGAGAGATATCAATGTAGTGTTCCTTTTGGGACAGTTTTAAGAATAAAGAGACATTGATATGATCCTGGGGCAACAAATATAAACAGAGACTACCTTAAACAAGCTGAGATGGATGGTTACCCCAGTTAAAATGGAGAACTAGACCACGCTTTTATCTGGGTCCCTGTGATAACGTGGTCTGGAGACCTCTTCCTTCTAACTAAGATGAAGGTCAGTGCCGATTCCAGACAACATTAATCCTTCCTGAAATAAATGGGCAAATCTGCATAGAGAGTAGATTAAAAAGTTGGACCGAGCACCTGTACGGTCAGCTGGAAAAGCAACATAAGTACTGAAAAAAAAAAACCCGAATGGTATCTAGAGTCTTCTTTACTTTTCCTCATGTTGTCCTACTTCCTGCCTTCATCACATCTAACTAGACTATTCAAATCAAGAAATATTAGCTAAGATTAAGGTCATCGCCTACATAATTCTTCTCATAACCTCTTGGCTGACTTAGTGCCGCAGACAATTTCTTAAGTCTCCTCGCCCCGCTGTCTGTGCCTCTCTGCGGAGTCCCTCCTCCTCTTAACAATCTCTCCATAGTCTGCTGGGCTAGATCTTCTTCCTGTAGTGATTCCTTAATTTTCCCATCTTCCTTCATTTGTTCTCTTTTTAGCTCTTTACAAGATTTCCTGGGGGCGGGGAGCGGTGTCGCTGTAGAGGCCAGAGCAGGTTGTGTCTTCCTGCGCCCACCTGAGGAGCGAGGGAGGGCTACATGGTGAGCTGGGGACCCGCATGTCAGTCCTCGAGGAGCTACTTCTGACTCCTCTCCCATCCGTCCCACTGGCCCCGCACAGCGAGGCTTTTCTCCCCAGCTCCACCCTGACTTCTGCATAACTACCGAGCTACTGGTCATTTCCCAGTCTCCTCAGATTCCGCATGTCCCAGACCTGGCTCATGACTTCCTTCTCGGCTTCATTCTTGATCCTGTATCTATCATCCTGATTAGCAGCAACATTTTCTACTACCTGCCCGAACCCCTGTCATCATCATCTAACTCACTTCACTCCTCCCTTTTTCAAAAGCCAATTAGACACCAAGTCTAAGCCACTAAGCCACCAAAAAGTCAACTGTATCTACCCTTTCCTTTTGTCCACACAGTTTTCATTCGGGTTCTATGATCTCTGAACTGGACTTTTATAAGCCATTTCGGCTTCTCTAACTTCAGTCTCTCCTTGAGCTAACATGTTCTCAAGAGTTCAGGCATACCTTGTTTTTGCTTTATCGCATTTTTTGTTTGTTTTTTACAGATTGAAGGGGAGACCTCCACCACTAAAAAAGCCTACGACTTGCTGTATCGATGTACTCACTTAATTGTGAAGACTGGGATCCAAACCCAGAAAATCTCCAAGGTGTGCCTGTACTGACTGTCAGTTTGTTGTTCGAAATTATATCACTGCTTTCTTCAAAGTTCCTTAAATGACTCCTCACACCTTAGGAACAACGGTCACTCCTCACCATATCGATTTAGTCTCCGCCTCACCTCTTAACACTCTCCTCCTATATCGTGTTCCAGTCATGTGCACAATTTAGAGTCATTTTCTCCTTACTCTTCTTTTTACTTTTCCACCAGACTAGCTTCCAGAGGAAGAATCTTTGTCTTTCCACTGACTCTCTACCTATCTCCCAAGTAGCCTGTGACATGTCCTTGTCGCTCTGTCCGCAGCATCACTGCCTTTGTTCAGATCCCTCAGAATTTTCACCTGGACCACTGCAACAGCCTCCTAACTAGTCTCCCTCTGCCTTGATTCCAACCCATAGATGACATTAAAGAGTGAACACGAAGTTAGCAAAAGCAGAAATGTGCTTAAAATCTTTCAGTGGCTTCCTCACTTCTTCTGAAAGGCATCCAAATTCCTTAATTAGCAAGGTCCAGATGACCTGACCCTTTCCTCACTCATCAGTCTCATCTCTTGTCACTCTTCCATTAGCGACTTCAGCTCTGTGCCAGTGACAGTTAATTACATGTAGCTGCCTAGATGAGCCACCCTCCCACGGAGCCAAGTCTCTGCAAATGCTGGTCTCCCTGTCTGAGGGACAGCCTCAGCTTTGCCTGGTCAACTCATTTTCCATGATCATTCCAGTCTGGGACCACTGTCACATCAATGCTACCATAGTAACCTGTGCATACTTCCTGTATCGTAAATATAAGCACTTACTTGCCTTTCTCCCTTTGACAGACCCAGGCAACCAAGCTCTGGAGCTGCATGCATGCGGGCACGCACGTGTGTGTTTTAATCCTAAACCTTAGGACAAGGCTTGACATGTGGCAGATATTTTTTTAAATGTTCAGATCTAAAGCTCATTAAGCTTATTAAAAGGCTATTAAACTCTCTCTCCTCCAATTAGTGGTATGGAAAAACACATTTTAAAATCAGTTTCAACACACTGCAAGGGGATCAGAGGGCACAGAGTAAGAGAGAAGCACCCAAGCATGCAAGAGGCATTAAAGATGAAGCGTGGCATAAAAGAAACAGGAATAGACGTGACAAAAGCAAATTTAATCGAGCCACTGTCCCGAGGACTGCACAGTGAAAAACTTTCATCAGTGGTTAATTCATAATACTTTATGAAGACAATACATTTAGGGACAGACCACAGACAGTCAGTCCATCAGGGCCACCATGTAAAGATCACAGCAGCCCTGTGGTCCTTGATGTCTACGTCACAAACACCATGGCAACAGACACAGTGTTCAAAGGCACAGGCCTCTCCCTGCTCCCTGCCGAATTTCCTACATTCTTACGTGCTGGCAAGTCTTTTCAACGTTTGCTACCATGGAGTTTTTCAAATTGTGGCTTATAACAAAGTATCTTGATTCTTTCTTCTTTATTCCTTTCGACTACATGGAGTGTGACACCATCAGTGCTTCAAAACAGTGCACTTTCCTTACAGACTGTTTTCGTCTTTATCGATAGGCAAGATTTTTTTCCCTTTGTCTTATAAGTAACTTTATTTTCTGTTCATTTGTCTACTGCTTACATAAGAGCATTAATGCTCTGGAAGAAAATAAAATCTACATTATTTAATGGTCTATAGAATGAATAAAAAGCAAACTGAGTTATGCCTTTTGCTATGCCATGGATGATAATTATATTTTGAACAGATTTCAAAACATTTAATCAATATTTTTATTGAGAAAGAAGAATTTGCCAAAATACCTTCTATGCTGTTAATATAATGTAGGGATATAAATTCTGGTGCTCACTGAACAACAAACAGGACTGGAAAACAGCAGATAAAGAAATTTTACTTTAGCATCCCTAAATCCTTACTGTAGTAAAAACAATAAGTAGAAGTTCTTCTAACATAATTTATAAATGTAAGGCTATTATTTACCTGCAGATTAGTGACCAAACATAACAGAAAACTTAAGGATGTGTTTTATTATAAAATAAATATATAACCATCTGACAGAATATCTGTAAAAGAAAAAAACTTTTTATATTGTATTATATTTTCTCTGGAAAAATTCTTATTAAAATGAACTTCTACAATAAAGCTTTCTGGGTACACACTTATTTCTGTCTTAGTAGAAGGTCCATCATTCTAGGTTAGTTTATAAGTAGGAAATTACCTACATTCCCTTAAAAAAAGAATGAAAAGTAAAGAATAGAAAAATACTAGAAAATTTCAGGAAAAGGAAAGAAATATGAAGGAAATAACGCAAAAGACACGTCCCTCTTTGATTTAACTAACAGGAAGGCAAAAGAGAGGATAAGTATTCGTTCTATTTTGTTTTTAATTTAAAAATAAATTTATTTATCCGAAGCCTAGTGTATGTGTGCTTATAAAATTTATTATCCTCTACACATAGCAGCGGCTTTTAATTTTATAATGCATGAATGGAAGATGTTTCAACACTTCATTTTGCATCATCTGAATTGAACTTAGCAAATTATAAAGATAGTTAAACAGTTTCACTTGAATCAGAATGAACTACGATAAGTGGTGATTTATCCATGGATGTAGTGATCTTACCTGAATGTTGTCATAGAATAGAACATCAGGCACTTTCGTTTTCTCGTGGGCGTTATAGATTGGTGCACTAACAGCTCCAATCCTCAGGAATCCAGATGCTACTTCACCTAAACATTCCACACAGATCAGAGGATTACTCGTGGTGCCCCAGAGAGGTCAGGTCCAGCCCAAGCAGAATGTGGTTCAGCATCTTTAATATTCTGTGGGCTCATCAAGGGATTTCAATTTAACAGATAAAAGAAATAAGCTTGAAGGTGGTAATAAAAACCTTAAAGGTATTTTATTAGCCAGAGTATTTTTTAGCTCTGCATAAAAGGCTTAAAGCTCTACGAGGAGCTTAAAATGTTCCAAAATGTAATAATTTTTATTTAAAACAATGTATATAGCGAATAGCACACAGATAAAATTGACAGGGGAAAACAAAACTCAGAACTCGAGTCGAGTCAGCTTATTAATAAGCTTGTTCGGTCAAAGACTATGACACGTACATAAGCCAAATGCACATTCTAAAGCTCTGAATTACCTCGAATGTCACTTATATGACCCATTCATTGAAAAAACCACATGTGAGAATCCCCTGATGGTCTAGTCATAAACACAGAAGCACCAACCCACTCCACTGTCTCAAATCACTATTTTCAGGGATTGTCCACGAGCTTGGTATTTTCAAACAAGCACCCACGCGCTGCATAATTTTTTTGCGGTAGTTATTATTCTATTGTCTCCTATAGTTGGTCCAGAATAGAATCTGAGTTCGTTGAAGCCAGAAAACTAAACAACAAATTTTGAAGTCAGGGAACATACCGCGTGTGTATTTCCTACAGTAACCAGATACGCTATTCACCGTCTGACATATTCCAAGGACAATAACAACAACACTGATAGTAGCAGTTGCAGAACTGATGATCACAGTAATAGAATCTTCATTTATTTAGAATCTTCTATGTGCCAGATCCCAAACTAGGAACTTCGGCTCATTGTTTCCTCACATAATTTCATGTAATTTTCCCTCAAATGAGAAGAGAAGTATGAGGGAGCTAAGAAGAACATAAACTAATTTGCTTAAAATCTCCCAGCCAGTACGGATAGAGCTAAAAATAGAGCTTAGTATAGTTTGACGTTCCTTCTGCCAAGTGAGGTATGTTCAGCCCTTTGACTCCAGATAATGCTCCATCCTGTGGAAATACCCTAGCAAGCAGGGAGGCAATTAGTGCGCCTTAAACAATTGACTCATCTTTCCCATGCCTATTTCAAATAAGAAAATTGCTATTTTTGTGGGAAAGCATTTTGAAAGACAAGGTGGAAAAGCAACTTTTGCGTTCATGGAGCACCATGAATAATTTCGAGCTAAAGATAATTAAACTGTCACCCTGTTTAATCACTGCTGAGTGCTATACATTTGCTTAAGCAGAGTAGAGTTCTTCCCTCAATCTATCTTTGCCATTTTCTTTCTATTCACAAGTTCTATAGGGGAAAAAACCCATGAGCTGTCATGCCAAGAATTTATTATTTATTTACTACCACTGAGTCTCTGAAACGGACCCAGTATAAAACTGTAAAGGGAAAGACTAGGATCATGGCAGCAAATTTACTATGTACTTATATGTTGAGATGACATGCATAATTTCAGATTTAAATAGTATCTGATATCATCTATTGTTTAGTTTGTGAAATATATTTATTTAGTATATTTAGGGCTTTAGAACAATTTAATTCATTCAGCCAATGCTTATTGTTAAAATTTCAAGCTAGAAAATGGAAAGGCAAGCGGAGAAAGCTGCCTGGTAATCTTCTAAGAAATCTCACAAGATGGAATTATTTTGGAAAATTGGCAAGGTCCTCAGCCTGGTAAGCTCGAAACCTGATTTTGTCATCACGACAGAGAATAAAACCTAACTCTCGGGAGATTAGTAAAGTCATAGATTCTGATCTATGTATACATTTTGATATATAAGACCAGAATTGCAAGATATTACATTGCAATGAAAGCTGCAACTTTCATATGACTATATGACACACTGGTTGTCATAGCAGCATATTGTTTGGAGGGTGACCTGCATGGAAAAAGCCAAATCTTTATCAGAATGTTGATAGGTGAGCGTGGCCTCTGAACGAGGAAGTGATTTAAATGAAGTTTCTAAAAGAGAGAGGACATTAAAGATGAATGGAACCAAACGAATCATAAGCCTCTTAACTTAGGTTCCTTCTCCCCTACAGAGGCTTAGACAGGAATTACTAACGCTGGCCTGCTACCAAGACTAAACAGTCTATAGTCCGAACGATGCCACTTTTCTTTGGACATGTCAAAAAATTCAATCAAGTAACATTTGAGTCTAAAAAGTGTCAAGGTTATTCTATCTCTTTGACGTGGCTCTGTATATCTGTACCCAGATCCATGAAAATGCTGTTTATAATTTTACTTAAAAAAAAAAATCTTATTTCCTTAATACCAAACTCTTATCTCAGTGTAGCCCCAACAATTAAAAACACCTACTACAAAGAAAACCACAAACAGAGTGGTCACATGTTGGATGTTTTGATAAAAACAGGTAATTTCTTCAAAAAAAATAGAGAACATTTCATTGTGCTCTTGATTGAAGGATGGGGACGTTTTAAAGGAAGAGCTCAACTTCCTTCCAACTCAAAAGTATACTTCTGTCTATCCAGGAGAGAAGCTCCACAAAAGACAGTACATGTGGAAAAGGAAGAGTAAGAAGGCATGAAACGGTACTCTGAATATTATTTTAGTCTATACCACCCTGGACTAGCTTCCCAAGCATGTCCCGTAAGACATCGGTGGTCCGCAAAATGTAAATGTGCAAAAAACCCCATCGAATTTTAGATTCTATGGTGAAATACATTTGGGGAATAAAAAAAAAAAAAAGGTAAAACAAAATCACGCAAGTTTATTTACACCGGAAATTCCGAGAGCCTTTAATATGTTCACGTCAATTGTGTCTCTTGGGGAGTGAAGGTGTGAAGGGGAAGGGCCTGAATCTGGTATGCACTGAAACAAAGGATGTATTCTCAGGTTTAGCTTGGAAGTGGGTTTCAACCTTTTTTTTTTTTAAATAAAAGATTCATTTTTCAACCCAATAATAAAACAAAATGAATGGAAAACAAAACCATTTTTATTGAAATTCAAATATTTAGAAAATGTTTCATAATTATTATTTCACTTAAAAAAAAAACAAATCATATACTTACATTTGTAATCCTCCGATTCTAGTTCTAGATTATTATCAGCACTTATTTCTATTGAAGCATCTGCCAGATTTTTTTCTAATGCTGATCTTGCGAGGCTTGGTAAAAACCTGGGGGTGGGTGTGGGTGGGAAGGATTTAAAGATAAAGTCAAAGCTTTCTGTAATTCCTAAATAGCTTTTGACATGTACACGCGTGTGCGTGCACATGCACACACACACACACACAAACACACTTACTAACTACAACCTGGGATCTGTGAAAACAAATAATAAACTTCAGGTACATGTGACGATGAAGTATATGTTTGTTGAATCTTTAATAATAAAGCTCATTTGTAATTAGCAGTGTTCATTGACATATAACATTTTTCAGGACAAGACTTAAAATTATTTGCTTTTTAAAATGGATTTAGTATACCTCATAAATCTTATTTATCATTTAGGTGGTTTGTCAAATTTTCTTAAATAGATTAAACAATACTTTAACCTACTCCAAGCTGGCGATCACAGATTCAAATTAGTGAATTAATGAGGTTTCTTTTACTTTCTAACACAAATTATTGAATAAATTTAATATTACCAAACTTGGTTCTTCCTTCCATTTAAAAATTATACCTCCTTATCAATTCTCTATGTATTTTGTCAAACAACACTGGTGAGTGACAGGGGTATTCTTCATCTATAAAGAGATTGTATGAACATCATGGGCTTAGGACATGAAAACAGAGCTTCCTAGCCACACAAACATATCCAGAATTTATGATCCCAAGTGAACCCACAGAAATGACTTTTAACCCATGATTCCTTGTGCTATATTACTATAAAGTAACCGCTATATGCCACAGCGTTCCGAATAAACGTACTAACAACATACCGCTTCTAATTTAGGTTTTCCATAGCTCTCAATCCCTTGTGCTTGCTCCCACAGCCTGGAGTATGAGCTCCAACAAAAGAGATGCTGGTGTGAGCAAGAAGGGAAACGGATGAGCATGTGAAGGACTGTCGGACTGCCTGTCCCCGTAACATTCCAACCCACATATTTGCCGGTATCTCCCGCCCACTGCCTCATTTGGTCCTAGGCTATGACAGGGGCCTTTCTACAGCTCTAGGCTGGCAGCTCATCAGTTCAGCATCAACTCAGACTTACTGCTGCTCATCTCCGACCTTTCATCACAGTCCTTAGGTTGTTGCCTTTTCTTTCAAACCAAGCCCTCACCTTATCTCCCAGATCCAACAGCTGGGTTTATCTTGCTTCCTGAGCCCCTGCCTTGGCGACCTGCCCTACTTTCTTCTTAGCAATATCCCGTGAACTAGAATCTGGCCTGGGAACATTAGGTCCTGCTGTTGTATCTCCATTTCTCCCTGTCACACCACCTTGACCAACAATGACCACTTTCAAGGTCAGATTTTCTTTGCTATTCCCAGAAACCCCTGACATCTCTATAGTGTGTCTGTCAACACATCCTCACTTTGGCCCTGTTCTGGAACATTTCAGATTGCCCTCCAAAGCCCACAGAGGATAGCAAACAAGGCATGTATGCCTCCTTTTCAACAGCAGTGACAGGCACTGCTTACCAATATGACATTCTTTCCCACTGAGATTAAACATGTTTTGGAATTATTTTCAACCTCACACCCAGACGGCACTACCAACTAATCAGAGGTAGCATAGCACGGAAGCTGAAATGTACTTACATCTAAAACTTACCTTCCCATAACCAAAGTAAGCACACCTATTTCAAATTTTTCAAGTGTATTTATCAGTAATGTGAGCATCATAGTGTCCTTTTAAAATCATTATTACTATTATCATTATTTAATCCCAGTAAAAAAAAAAAAGAATTGGTGGAAAGTCTCTAGTTTCCTTAAGTCTTCGGTTCTAAGAAAAAATAAAGAAAGATTCAACCATATTCTGGGAAACGCAGAAACAGAAGTAGTTGCCCTACGCTAACTCAGATAACTGTGTCTCATCATAGGAGCTGAACGGGATCTTTAGATTAGGAATGAAACGGGACTCCTCAGGATGGGAGCAGCAGAAGCCGGGACCAGGAGAGGGGGGCTTCCAAATCACCGCCCCAAGGGGAAAAGTGTTAGCAGTAAGAGAGAGAGAAAAAGACTGAGGGGCTCTTGACTTCTGTTTTGAACATGTAATTAATTTATAACTATGATTTTAGATCTTAAATTTATAAGCAGTATTGGAATACTTAAGAAAACTTATGGTTTATCCTAGTTAAAAATCTAAATTGTTAAATTTTGAGCTATGTAATTTCTCAGGAAGGCTTTGTTAATTCAGACATCTGAAGTGCTTAAAAGGACACAGAATATTCTTATAGAATTTATTAAACATAATTTCAAATGTTTGAAGATATTTAATTTAGCCAAGTTGTATAAACAGAGCCACATCTTCAAAGGCCCATAAAAGCAATTAGATCTGATAGACTTAAGCTGCATAACAAAAAATCCTAAAGAAGATCTAGATTTCTGAAATTATAGACTTAAAAAATTGAATAGCAGTTTTTAAAGTCAAAAATAAGTCCCTGAATAGTATCTCTTGCAATGAAAATCATTATTCAGGACAACGAAATATTCACATCACATCAAAATAATCACTGTAATCATATAACACTGTGTATGATAATTCTATCAGGTTTGTGATTTTAAAAAATTAACTAACAGCTTAAATAATGTAAAAATTTTATACAGATGTTATTCATTTTATGTCACAGAAGAATTTCTGAAAAATGCTGTATGCAAACTAAGTTGTTGGTGAACGAAAAAAATGTCATTACCTCGATCCCTGAGACAGTTAATCTTCATTTCTGATTAAATCCTTATAGCTCTGCCCACAGGTTCTATGCTAAAAGATAGTCACCCCCAAGATTTTCCAGAAGGAAATAACTTAATGGAATGCAAAATATCTGAATGGAATAGAACTTTCTACGATAAAATAATTTTTGGAATGTGAAATAACTGGTAAATTCCTAATCTTCTAAATTTTCTTCCATTTGGCCTCTTAGGTTTTCGAATTTCTAGAAAATGAATTGTGCACGTCGCTCCGAGCCGTGGTGGACACATTACAGGCTATGAGAATGAGGTACTTAGGGAGCTGTTTCCTCAGGTGAAGAAATGTTGCAGCCTGAGCTCAACGAGCACAAGCAAACGAATGAATAATATTTTTTTAAATGAAATGAACAAGACAACAAGTCTATCTAATAGTTAATAAATTTAATATTTAACAAATTTAGCCTAGAGAATTTCTTCTGACTTTTCTCTGCTTAATAACAGACTTCATGAATATATGTTAATTTTCGTTTACAATTTTCAATAAAATTCAGTTTCTTTTCACTGCTTCAATGTAGAATGAGGTCATTAAAAAAAAACCTTTAATTACCCATAATTTTTTGTTTTTTCCTGCCATAGTGCTATCTTGAAAAGAAGATTAGTAAAAAGGCTATTGACTCTGTAGCCTCTAAAGTCAACAGATGATGCATAAACAAGATAGCTCTTTTACTTACTGTAAAGGGTCAAGGGTTAGTAACAAAACAGAGTTTTATTGTGGTCATTTGATAACATTGAAAAAATTAGCTGATATTTGATTCACTGAAATACTGATGAGTATGAAAAGTAAGCATTTTTTAGTTTTTCAGATTTTTTAAGTATGAAATATTTCAAGCATACAGAAAATTAGAGAATACTAAGCATTCTATTCATTTCTCTCCATCCCTAGAGGTAACTCTCACACTGAAATTAGTATTTTTCTTGTCTATATCTTTACTTTGCTACATATTTAGGAGTAAAAATATATTGTACTGTTTAATGTATTAAACATTTTACATAAATGGCATCATATGCCAAATCTCTTCTTGCAAACTGCTTTTTTCACTTGATATTGTCAAGTGTCATACCTATTGATATACGCAGATCTACTTCATTGTAACCGCTGTATAGTATTTTAATATGTGAATATGTCAATTAATATATTCATTCTTTGATAGATAGGTTGTTTCCAATTCATTCTTATAAACAATGATGCAATGGACACTCTTCTACCTGCCTCCTTATAGATAGATATAAGTCTATCTCTGAGATGATATCAAGAAGTAGAATTGTCAAATGGTATAGTATGAAATATTTAGACATAAAGATAGTGTAAGTTCAACCCCGAAGTTATGAGGCGTCTATCCCAATAGCTGTAATGAAATTCCATTTCCTTCCTCTCACGAAAAATACTAATTTTTATAGGTAAAATTTTTTAAGTATAAAATGATAGCTGATTACTGTCTTAAATTTCATTTCCCTGATCAATAATGAAGTTCGGCACTTTCCAGATGTTGGTCATCTGAATGAACTTTTCTGTACATGCCTATTCGCCCTTCAGCCATTTAGGGTTGATTCTCTTATCTCATTAATTAATACTTAATAGTCCCAGCATACCAATCTTTTTGTGATTATAAATATAAATCTTATTAAACATCTTTTAGTGTGTGACTCATACTTATACAAAGGTTCATAGTGTTTTTGTTGTAAAACAGGATTTTACTATTTTCTAAAGGATAAAGCGAATATTTTTAACTTTTAAGCATTTATTGATAAGTCCATCCGTTTCCACCCTGATTTATAATGCCACCTCAAATATATACTAAATTCCCACAAATATGAGGGTCTGTTTCTGGGCTCTGTAGTCCATTCTAATGGTCTGTCTTTCCTTGCACTGATACACACTGTCATGATGAATATAGCTTTATAATGGATCCCAATAACTGATGGAGAAAGTATACCTCCTTAATCTTCCTCAAAATTTTCTTGACTATTATCAGCCTTTTATATATCAATGCCAATTTTGAGATCAGCTTGTCTAATTCACTATAACTCTGGTGTTATTTGACTGTATTATACTTATATATCAATCTGGTTTCCTTCTTGCTGAAATATATCCTTTAGTAGTTCTTTTGGCAATGTGGTAAACTCTAGTCCTCATCAAAAAATGTATTTAGCTAAGCAGAGACTTCTGGGGTTCATGGTTATCTTCCCTTAACACTTTCAGGATACTATCTAATTCTTCTGGAATCTATTGTTGCTGATCTGAGGTTGTCAGTTTAATATTGCTCCCTTCTACCTTTTTCCTCTCATAATTTTTAAGTTGTTCACTTTGTCTTTAATGCTATGCAGTAATAACACAATGCCTATTCTCCAAATTTTGATCACTCTTGTTTATTTCTTAGATCAATTCACATTACTTGATTTATTTTTACTTGCTTTTTTTAAATAAAAGAACTTGAAAGTTGATTAAACTACCAGGGCATATATGAAGGTCTACAGAATGTGATTCTTTAATTCTAGTACATTCGAAGCATGACTTTCCCTCAGGCTCCAGAACTACTCGCACTGCTTAGCACTGACTGTTTACTTCCATTAACATACATCTACACCTAAGTTCCCACTATGAAAATACCGGTTAGGTACTAGATCTCTTTCTCTGTCTACGTCATCTTCCGTTCATGACGCTGAAAAACAAGCACTTACAGCATTTTTTTTCTAATTTTCATTCGGCTGTCTAATATTCTTCTACTTAAAAGAAAAATAATTTTATTATTTTTTATAATTACCAGTTATTGAAAGAATTACTCTGCAGACACTAGAAAGGAGCCCCATTTTAGCTGAATACAGCATAGAACAATTCAAGTCACAACATAAGAAGCTTATTTAATTACAAGTAAAATTGTCCACTAATCTAAAGATTTACATATAGAGGGTAATTACAGATTCTCCTAAATTGAAAATAGATTCTCTTTTAATTCTTTTTTTTTTTTTTATCAAGGAATGAATGAATAATAGACATGACCACCATAAAAATATTACCAGATCAAATGAAAAGAGTCTAAAATAAACCTCTGGGCCTAATGGACATTGTTCTCAATCTTTCTTATAATTCTTTTAAAATAGTTTTCAAGCATGTGATTCTGTTAAGAAAATTCGATAAGCCAATATTTCATAGCCATTTCCAAACAGGTATGAAAAATATTAGTGTAGACTGAAAAGGTGTTAGTTTTGTTAAGTTTGGGTAACAGGGAAGTACTATCAAGCATGGAAAGTTCCAGTGAAAATTGTGTCATGATCACGAATGCCAACTCAGGAGATACACAGACCGGCGTTCCAACCCCACACCCACTTTCACTTATTTACCACTGTGTGACCTGAACCAAGTGACTTAAGTAGTTTTCTTATCTATAAAATGCCTCTTAAAATTGTCGTCATGCACAAATAAGACACATATTCTGAAAACTGAACACAAGGCTGAAACAGCTACATCTTCAGACCAATACTTTTTCCAGACTACCTATCATTAAACTTCTGTTACTGTTTCAGCAAAGACCCAGAACCTTGCATTCAGTGAGAAAGGAGAATACGGGTACCTGGACAGGCAGGCTTTAGTGACGGCATCGTGAAGATTTTCATCGGGGTACTGCGACAGCCGACGAGAAATCCGCAACAGCTGTCTGGTGGAAAGGGACGCTGCCAACGACTGCGCCTGTGAGAGGGCAGAGACAGCCTGTTAAGAGTCTTGTTTCCACCTGCAGAAAGTCCTGTCAGATGCGTATCACAGCAGAACTCAGCATTCCTG